CAGATATTTTATCCCTGTATTATATTTAAAGAAATTAAATTTTAAAGAATCAAAATTATAAATGTATGTATGTTTCCCGCATTGTGTTAAAACAACCTTACCTGTGATAAAACAACCATATATGACTATTTTGAATAAATATATGGAATAAATATATTTCCATCCGAATAAATATATTTCCATCCATTTTGAATAAATCCATCCATTTTGAATAAATATATTTCCATCCGAATATAGGCATATGAAAGCCCAAATTTAGAATTTGGAATTTGTTTTATTACCAGTTTCATATTTTGTAAGGCATTTCTGAGTTTTTGATTAACAAACTCAAGGATTTCAAAGCGAGCAAATGGCAACACTACGGGAAAAGAAAGAAAAAAAATTATCTCCAGCCCGCGAGACTGTGTATGGAAAATTCTTAAGCTATGTTCATTTTAAAATTCTTTTTCAATACTGTTCTTAAATTGAATGTTTAAAGTGCGAAGAATGTGATATCTAATTAATAAAGATAACCCACAAAACGTTAAAAAAAACGCTCTTTTGGGGTATATAAAATCCGAAAGCGTTCGTTTTTTTTTTTTTTTTTTTTTTTTTTTTTTTTTTTTTTGTTGTTGTTGTTCTTTTCAGGGAAGGCTTTAGCGCTCCTTACTGTTTCCAGTAAGCTATTCATTAATACTTCATTAGCTCTTATTTTTTTTCCCGTATCTCCTCGAAATTCTTCACAAGCAGTTTCATTTTCTCCTGATATCCTTTTAGGCAATTGTACAACAATGTTCTGTGATGATAATTTGCTTCACATGACGCAAAATTTCTTGGTCCGCTGCTTGGCATAATATCACATTCCCCCGGCGGTAAAAACAAATTTTACACATTATCATTCAAGCTTTCGGTAAAGTAGAAGAGCTCTTGTAATACAGCATTAGCAATCCATAATCAGTAAATCACTAGGCAGAAAATATTGACCTGAGGGGTATAAGTTTGACACAGGTAATTCCATTGGCGTAGAAAATCAAAGACTATTACAGCACAATAGCGTCGCTTGAGGACAGGAAAATTTGTTCATCATTTCTCATGATGAGATATGTTTCTCTGACGGCAATGTTGCTCAGCAATATGATGATACTCATCACGAGCCCTAATGATAAGTTAAAAGATATCATGAACATATCTGGAACACGAAATTTGAAATAAATCTGCATGGAATTTATCGTTATTCATATTCGGTTATATTACAGTAAAGTCCAGGAAACTCGACTCCGGATACCTCGAAATTCCGCATAATTCGACAACTTTTTAGGAACTTTTTTAAGATATCTCTAGGCCAAACAGAGCAAATATTACACACAGTACTTATAAATTATTATTTATGTGCATGTCTTCTCTGGTTTATTCAAAGATTTGAGTGTTCTTTTTATTAATTCCTATTATTAGCTCACATTCTCCCTATATCTTGTTGAAATTTTCAATCGTTAATAAATTTTTTGAGCGTTTCGAAAAGTTTTTTTTTTTTTTTTTTCGAAATTTCAATCGAGTGGATGAATAACCACTCAAGTTCAAATACATTTTTTTAAACTTGGGTGGATGACCCTTTATGTTAATACAGTTTTTTTACATATTAATAATTTTTTTGTACTTTTTAAATTTGTGTCTGTTCACCTAAATAGGAATTGACTTTGAATTTTTTTTAATTTAATTAATTAATTAATTTTCAATCGTTAATAAAATATGTTTTATTCATCCACTCAAGTTCAAATACATTTTTTGAGCTTCTAGTGAAAGACACTTGATGTTAATACAGTTTCTCAAATATTAATTTTTCTTTTAATTTTTTTATTAAAAAAAATTTTCATTTTATTTTTATTTTTATTTTTATTTTAATTTAAAAAAATTTTCTTTGTTTACCTAAGAATTGACTTTAAATTTATTTTTTCATATATTACGTGTTCTTCTGTTGTTTCTGCTCATTCGTCAGCACAAGCCCACGAAATGCCTCGTGGCAAGTAGCGCAAGTCTACGGCTGTAGTTGGCAACAGCACCTTACAGCTGACAGTGCAATTTAGCTCAGCTCTCCTTATTTGTCCATCCCTTTATAGAAGGCAAAGGTATCTCACCTGTTAGGTGCCTCCGTGATAAAGTGACCACCGCTTCTAACCTTAATAGTATTGAAGGTCAATGATCGGTTTGGGTCCACCATTGAGGGGGAAATTTTATTTTCATTAAAAAAAAATAATTTTATAAAAGTTACGAAATTGAACTTTTTATCCTTTCTCCGGTCCTTATACAGTATATAACTCCAATTATCCGAATCGCTTTCATAATTTAAGAAAAAAAATTAAGACGCAAACTTAGTGTTGGACTACATTGTTACGAAATATACAGGCGCGGTAAGATAGCTTCCCCTCAAAGCAGTTTTAGGGTTGCCATAAAATGGCAAAAGAAAGCAAGGTTGTCACATTTGGCGAGAAATCGCCCATTTGGCGACAAAATCGGCGATATACCATGGACGGATGGAGAACCTTCTGGAATGAATTCTTACCGGTTTAGCTCAGAATGTTCTCGAACACAAGCCCGAAAGCTATATAAACTCTGCTGGTCCGCAGTCAGTTAGTGAGTGCTCTTCATCGAGAGGGCGAGTGAGAGTGCCTCGTCTGTAGTGCGAGATAGTTAGTATCGAGAGTGTGCCTCGTCTAGCAAGCTGATAGTCAGTCATTGAGCGAGTGTCTCGAAGTCTAGCGCGGAGTGGGTCGTCGAGTGCATCGACAGAGTCTTTTAGTGTATCGCGAATTAGTGCATCGTCGAAGTTTTGTTTTAGACTATACTGAGTCGAGAGCTATACTCTTGTGTATCGTCGAGTGGATCGCGAGTTTTAGCTTGGAGAGTCTGGAATTCCGAGAACGACCAAGCAGAGTCGGGAGCTGAACTGTGGTGTTTTGCCGTGAAGCTGTCTCCGCCGTGATAGCCTGATAACCTGAAGGCTGTGTCGCTGATCGTCTCGGCTTGTTTCTAGTAGTTCATCGATGACTGTAAAAACGTGTTTTGAAGCTGTTCTAACAATCCTGGCTAATAAAGTTTGTTTCGATACTTCATCAAGTGTCGTCGTTATTCACTCCAAATCCACACGAACCCCGTGATTTGTAATTAACTGTATCAAGAATTTATTCGCTTTATTTCTTTTTAGGGACACCTTAGGAAAGTATTGATAAGTTAATCTTCACGTGTCTGCATCGTCCCATCTTGCTTGCCACATCCTTATGGCTTCTTCTTGTGCCATGTGCTTTATTACTCTTCTCGATAATGGAGTCTCCACATCAATCTCCTGTTTTCTCGATGTTTCTTTTGCCGCTTTATCCGCGGCTTCATTTCCTGTGACACCTGTGCGTCCTCTAACCCAATTGAGTTCTATTTGAATCCTCTCGCTTTCTGAGATTAGGTTTTCTTATATCGCTTCTATCAGGAGTGTTGTACTACCTGATTTATTAATTGCTTTAAGCACACTCAGACTGTCCGTGTAAATTTTCACTATCTTCTGTTGTTGGGTGTTAAGCATGTCGCAACCCCACAGTATCGCGTTTCTCAAGACGATTGCTTCTGCTTGAAATACTGTACTATTTTTGCTTAGCTTAAGTTTTTCCTCTTCTATTATTGAGCCGTTGTAGTAGGCAACAAAAGCTGCACCCACTTGGTCTGCTGTCTTGGACCCGTCGGTAAATATTTCGAGACCCTTGTGGGTCGACTGGTTTGTGGTCTAGCTAAACTTCATTATTTCTACTGGATGTCTTCTCATCCTTGAAAGTTCTTTTTCTATTAGTTGGTATGGGATATGTGCCTCTTCCATAACCAAGTCTTCTTGGAAGTGAACTAATCTATATATTTTCGATTCCAAATCCGCCTTTATATCAAGGGGCAGGGCACCAACAATAGTCTGAAGAGCCGTTGTTGGAGTGGTGCTATAGGCCTTCGTTATTTGTAAGAGCACTGTCCTTTGGATTTGTAGTAGCTTATTCTTGGCCCTAACAGTGCCACTGTTGTGCCACCAGATTGGGCAACCATATAATATAAGCCGTTCTATCGCTCTGAGATAGAGTTGTTTATAGATTTTCCCTTTAAAACTCCAATTGTGGGTCATAAATCTATTGAGGCTGTTTACCAGTTTTTGCACTCTATCTTTTAAATCTGTTAAGTGCGGAATCCATGTCAATTTTCTATCTAGGGTGAATCCCAAGTATTTTAAAGTGTCATTATTCTTAATGGGCTTGTCCATCCATTTAACTCTTGGAGAGTCTCTTAGGGGCTTGGTACCTTTGGGGAATGTAATCATTTTCGTCTTTTCTATGCTGAAGCATAATTTGTAATCTTTGCTCCATTTTTCTAAATTTTCAAGCGCCTTTTTAGCTTTCTTTTCAGTGTTTGTTCGGTTGCCTCCTCCGACAATAACTACGAAATCGTCTGCATAAGCTTGAAGTATCGCATCTTTCCCTAGATCCAGCGATAGCGCCGTGTTCGCTATTATGTTCCACAAAATGGGCCCCAGATTCGACCCTTGTGGGGCTCCTTTGAAGTAGGACTTTGTAATACTGACACCATCTCGATTATAAGTTACTTTTCTAGGTAGCTTTGTAAAAGTTTGTAGAGATTCACCACATTATTCAGGGCGTCTATCGTACTTTTCCCTGGAGTAAATCCAAATTGGAGAGGATGAAGAAGATTTTTTTTTATAGAGAAAGTGACTCAGTCTATGGGCCAATAACTTGTCGAGTATCTTTCCTCACGAAGAAAGAAGACATATCGGTCGGTAGGCACCCGGGTTGCTCTTATCTTTCCCTTCTTTAGGAAATCTTTCCCTTCTTTAGGAAAGAGGACTAAGATTGCTTCTTTCCATTCTTTTGGAAAATAGCCCACCTCTAGGCATTTGTTCATAACCGCGCCAAACAGTTGTCCGTTGGATAAGAATAATTCTTCCACTTATTATAGGGTTATATTATCTGCACCCGGTGCTCTACCTTTCTTTGTCCTTTTTATAATGTCTATGATTTCCTCTTCTGTGAAAGGAATATCATTCTCCGTATCTCGCTCCGTTTCTGCCTTTCTTCTCATACTCATGTGAATATCTTCATCCGTCTCTATCATCTTTCGGGAAGTGGTGACCTATGATTTGGTCTACGGTTTCTGTAATGTCAGAAGTAAACGTTCCATCCTCCTTTTTAATTGCACATAGTTGTAGCGGCGAGAGACTCTTTCCTTTACCTACGTTATAATACGTCCCAAAGGGGAATGCTGGTGAGAGGCTCTCCCAGAAATTGTCCCACGTTTTGGATTTTGCATTCCAAATATTCTTCTTATACAAAGCCTCCTCTTTCTTATAAATCGTCCTGAGTCTCTGCCGTTCGCACTCATTCCATCTCTCTCCCTGGTACTTCCTTCTTAGTGCTCTGACCTTTTTCGCTGAACCGTTAAGTCCGTTGTCCACCATGGATGGGACTTAGGAAAGTTTTTGCTACTTTCATTTTAAGTCCTTTCTACCTCTTTTGAGGTCTTATTAATTATTGAGTCTATTTCATTTCTCGACTCTATGGGTGTGGTGTGTTGAAATCTCTCTGAGAGTCCAACTCAGAAATCTATCCAGTTTGTCCTTTTTAGATTCCACCTTTTGCTCATTCTCTCCTGCAGAGAGATGTGTGAGATTTCAAACGTTATTGCTCTATGATCACTTAGCGTGATTTGGTCGATAACCAGCCAGTTATCTATTTCTAAAGTTCCCTGTGGTCTGATCATCGTCAGATCCACCCAGGACTCTCCTCGATTTGCTACACAGGTAGCATAACTTGTTGGATCATTACATACCACGAACCCTGTTGAAGCTATGAAGTCACCGACCTGAGCACCTCTTGGGTCTGTATAGGAAGGTCCCCAGAGAGGGTGCTTAGCGTTAAAGTCACCAGCTATAATGCATGTATGATCAGTATATTTCCTTTGAATTGAGTCTAGGTCATTGAGGAAATTGTCCATTGGTAGTGAAGGAGGACAGTACACAGAACAGAGAATGAATGGAGCATTGCCTCCGACAAGTATGGCTACTATGTGCTTTGAGCTGAAGATCTCCAAGAGGGAAAGGCCAGGATTGTTGGCTAAGATTGCCGTTTTGGGATCTTTATTGTAATGGTATCTTCTCATTCTCATAGGAAAATCGGCAAGTTTGCCTTTATAGACGTATGGTTCTTGAATGCATGCTAAGACAATATTACTATTCTGTATTAAATCTACGCATAACTGTTTCGCTGTACTCTTAGAGTGCTGGAGGTTAACTTGGATGATTTTGTACGTATCCATAGTTCACCTTTCGTTTGTATATTTCCAATTCTCTTCTATAGGTTGGGCATGTTTTTGTCTTAGCATCATGATTCACGTTTATTTCCAATTTATATTTTTCCTTCGCTTTCTTGCAGTTTATACACTGCTGCTCTGTCCCTTGGCAATCCGCCTTCAAATGGCCTGTCTCCCCACACTTAGAGCATCTTTGATCTTCTTTGCAATTTCTCTTGGTATGGCCATAGCCATAACAATTGAAACACTGTGTTGCTCTTATAAATTCCCGCACAATATTTCGTGTCCATTGTAGGTTTATTTTCTGACTCTTCTTCATTCTTTTGAATGATTCTGGGTCCAGAGCAATTACCCAGTTTTTAACGTATCGACCATTCATAGAGAATTTCACTTCAATTGTGGCGTCTTCATATTCCACATTTTGTGTCTTTATTATTTGCACTAAATTTTCTCTTGTAATGTCTTCATTGACATTGTATATCATAATCTTGGGATTCACCCTAGTAGGTTGCTTCACCTCCATCGTTTCTTTCAATGCTTCATTTTCTTTTATGGCCTGTTCCAGCAGAGCCATGTCATCCTTTTTAACAACTTCAATTAGGGTTCCTCCCTTGTTTATTTTACGCACCTTTCTTATGCCTACCTTGAGTTTTGTAGGGTTAATACTATGCACTATGTCTTTCTTGACATAATCCGATGTCTTGTTTTCATTCTTAGGATATAGGAGCACTACATGTTCTTCTTTTGCTTTCCTTTTTCTGGAAACTGATCGAGTTTTTGATCTTGATCTGGCACCTTTTGCAGCCTTTTCTGCGTAGGTTTCTCTTTTTCGAGAAATAGTGTCCATTTGGTCCTGAATTTTTGTGGTCAATTCACTTTTGCCTTCCAGTGTCGTCATTGCTAAACACTGCTCAGTCATTAGATTGTACATATACATGAAAATGTGCCGTATTTCTTCCGCAGAGTCTCTAGGAATGCGCTCTATTTTTAGGAAGTTAGTCATATTAAGCACACATTTGTTGGCTTCTGTGAGGAAGTCCTTTGAGGTTTGACCCTCCTGAATTGACATATTACCTTCCATCGTCAATAAGCTTTTGAAGCTTGTATCCTAGTCTGTGCTGACCTCTCTGGTACCCTGGGGTTCACACCAGAGAGGATTGAGTTCCGGCTTTGGACCCTCAAAGAGGGAGCCCCCCGACTACGTCAAAGTACCAGAACTCTCGGTAGTGTTATATTGCAAATGATCAAAATGGTATATTAATCCACTCAATACCGCTTAGTCGCAATAAGTCACAAGCACAGATCGCTACAAATATAACACTCCCCCCGGGGGGGGTAAAGCAAATAACGGCTGGGTAAGAAATTTTAAGTTCAGGCACAGTGTCCATCAAACAGCTTACTTAGACCGAGATGTTCAGCAAGCAATAACGTTCAGCACTTGTAAGTACTGTACAGTACGCTATGTGCCATTACGTAAAAGTATTGCCTTTTCATTTTAATTAACTAACACCTCTTTTTCTTTATAAATAGATTTTATCCCATTTTCAACATCTGGTGCATACAATAATTAATTAATGTAGACCCTTTCTTCAAAGAAAAATCCCATTATCCAAATTTTTGGTTATCCGAATAGGTTCCGGTCCCAATCGATTCGGTTAATTGGAGTTCTACTGCAGTTAGAAAAAATATTGTACTTATAAAAAATAAAAATAAGTTTGACTCCCGCATGACAAAAATTTTTCGAGATCTTTAATTTCAAACTTTTGGATATTGAACGTCATTTTCGTTCAATATTTTTAGGATATTCAATGTTTCGGATATCGAACGTCATAGAAGGGTCGGTTAATAATATAAATTTGAATAATTCGAGGGTTTTTTAATTCCTTAAATGCCACTCAGTGATATGTTTTCGTGGGTGTATGTGATATGTTTTCTCAGTGATATGTTTTTGCCTAAGGTGTGACATTCTTTAATATATAATCCTGTTACAAGTAGTACGCCGAAAAAAATTTTTACACCAGTATTTATTGCATTTATAATGGTAAAATACGGTGTTATTATTCTAATGAAATTTTACTATTTTAGATTCATAATACAACAATCGGGAAAAATAAATAAGCTAAAATATTTTTAATTTTCGATTCACGGAAATATCGTTACGAGCTGGCTCTGTACTAGTACTAAACCCATAAGGTATTTCTCCCGCCTTCTTAGCATGCCTTCGTGGTGTAATGGTCAGCACATTCGGGGCATATTCGAGAAATCCGAGGTTTGAGTCCCGGCGAGGGCATTGCTCATTTTCCATTCCTGCTTCGAAATAACCTAATGTCTCTACAGTGGCGCCCGAAAAGAAAAGGTGGTGGATAATGATTCTCCACCACCAGATTTTGGCAATTGGGTCCCCTAATCCCAAATCGCCCTTTAAAAGGGAAAGTATCTAAGGTATTTCTCCCGCCTTCTTACCATGTCTTTTGGTGTAATGGTCAGCACATTCGGAGCTTATTCGAGAGGTCTGTGGTTCTCGTGCCGGGGAGCGCATTGCTCATTTTTCATGTCTCCTGCTTCTAAATAACCTGACGTCTCGATAAACCTTGCCAGCATTTTTAGGAACACTAACACTGATTGTATAAACGCGAACGGGCTGGCTGCATGGGCGTTTTCATGGTTTTCCCATGTGTGATGTGTGAAGAAGCCAGTTTCCTTAGAAAGTCCTCCACGAAGGCATCCCGTCCCTTAGACAGATAGCCCTCGGGGTTTTGCTTTAATCACATAAACTAGATAAAATTCTATAAGATTCGGGGAATAAAACCTTTTTTTCTGGAAGGGAAGAAGAAACTTTTATTGATCATTTCATAGGAACTTGTATTTCTACAACAATCTGCCCAGAAATACTTACTGTCACTTAATCTATTAACATAAGGAACATTTTTCCAAACTTATTTTTAGTTACGTACCAATGCTAATATTTCGCCCTTTAATTTGTGTGTGGACCCTAAACATGATCTCCAACTTTAAAATGAAATGCAGGAGTAGCAATTTATTTATTTTATTTTATGTATTTATTTATTTTGTATTTTATTTCTTACAATAAGTATAAAACTTTCCTAAATATAATATAGTGATTTGGAAAATGTATAAGGAATTAAAATATCGTAATTTTCACAAATTTCCTTTTTTTTAACTAAAAGTATTAAAACACTAATATTTGCTCATTTAAAACTCATGCAGGTAGGAAGTAAGAAGAGAGGCTCTTACCAGGTTTTCCCATTCACTGCTTTGAAGCACTGGCGATCTCTTCGTTGAGACCAAAACATTTAGTAACTTACCATTAAAAAAAAGGGGCGGGAATCAGGGGTTTTGACACGATCGAATGTAAACATTTTGTAATTACGTCGTAAATATACGTATTAAATATATATATTTTCTTTTCCTACAATATTTCGCAGTTCTAAGTATATGAGAAGAATGCATTTTTAAACAACACTTCATTTTGAACGGAATACAGTGCTATACTTTTCACAGAGAACGGTTTGCTCAGAGCGGTTTGATTTGAACGAAATACTTACACAAGTTTAAGTTAATTACATTAGAAAAAAATTTAAGGCAATTCAATTTTATTCGGTTGAGGATTAAAAAAATTAAGATCAAAGTTTATTGTATTATTAATATTAAAATTACGCATTAATTCTTTTCTATTTACAGAGCTTCTTCAAGGGCCAGAAAGGGGGTTGAACCTTCGACTCTGGTCTTAAGGAGTGGGTGGACTTGTAGTGCGATTAAGTTCGCGGAGCAGGGAATGCCAATTCTCGTTGTTGTTGTATATATTAAAAGCAACCTTTATTAAGTATACAAGAGGTAAAAGTTAAACAGAATTATTAAACTAAATAAATTTAATACGAGTATAATAAGGCAAGATAAAATACAGTCATGTAAAGAAAAATATGTCTTGACGGCGAAATGGCCATGGGAAAATGACGAAAATTTCTATATATGTTCGGTATGGGATTCGAATCCTAGCGAACGGCTAGCTGAATGGGCGTTTCCATGATTTTCCTCTTGTGTAAAGTGTATACGATCCAATTTCCCTTAGAAATTCCTCCACGAAGGAATTTCCACCCTTAGGCGGATAGCCTTTGAGTGCTTTACCATAATCATGTAAGCCACAGTTAAAATTCATCAGATGATTTGACTGGGCTGAACAATAAATTTGTTGAACAGTGAGACTTCGACCCAGTTCAAATTCCGTTGAACGGATTGGTTGTATAGTAGTTTTCGTTTCACCCCCCCCACGCCCCGCACATGATAAGGCCTTCACGAAGACATCCTTCACCATAGGCATATAGCCTTCGATTCGCTTTGGTTTAACCAATTAACCTTTAACCTCCATGTGCAAAGCGCATCCGAATTAAGTTTGCCTTAAAAGATCTAAAAAAGACGTCTACGAAGGCACGTCTTCCTTCAAGTCAGATAGCTTTATAATATGCTTTTCATAATGAAACAAATCTTCAAACGATCTAACTTCAATGCTTAAGAAAGAGAAGCAAGTGGAACGGAAATTCAGAAATTGTTTCGCAATTTAACTTCCATAGGCGTCGTGAATTCTCTAAAATATACATCTGTAAAATACGCTTTTTTTTTTCGGGGGCGGAATAGGGGGGTTATTTGAATGAACCGCACGTCTCCACTTGAAAGCTTACCTGTTAAATATTACCCCCCCTTTTTTTTCTTTTATAATCCAAAGGGGGCAAATTGCCCTGATGGATTATTAATTTCGTTTTGCCATTTTTGCGTTGAAAAGAATAAACGGCGAATCATTTTCTAAATTGTTGCCACCAAATATTATCTCCCTCTATTATATTTCAAGAAATTAAATAATGAAGAGTCTGTATAAATCTATGTATGTTTCTCGCACTGTGATAAAACAACCGTACATGGTAAAACTAACCGTACTGTGGTAAAACAGCCAGCCATCAAAATTTGAATAACGTAATCTTGCATAGAATATGGTAAGTGGTAGTCCTAATTTGAATTTGAAATTTGTTTTATTATCTATCTTATATTTTGTAAAATTTTAACGAATTTTTGATTAACAAACTCGAGGATTTCAAAGCGAGCGATGGCAACGTTGTACAGAAAAAACAATTTTACTTCCAGCGCGCGAGACTCTGTATCTCTGTATCGGAAATTCTAAAGATAGGTTCATTTAAAAATTATTTTGCGATATTGCTGTTGAACTGAATTTTATGGTTTAAGTGCGAAGAACATGATATTTAATAAATAAAGGTAACACACGAAACATAAAAAAAAAAAAAAAAAAAAAAAAAAAAAAAAAAAAAAAACCGCCCTTTTGGACGTAATTAAGAAGAAAAATTAATTTTTTAGAAATAACTGTTGTCTTAAAATCGGTTTCATTAATACGGTTAATTATAATTTCGTTATTTACGTTTGTTTTCTGTTTCTGGAATCGGGTACAACCCATTTAGACTTATATTCAAATAAATACAGTTAAGTTCGAAATTCTGAAAAACAAATTCAGGATCATATGGGTCGCACTAATGAAATTTATTATTTTTATTTATAAAATGAAGGATATTTTCTGGAACATATCCTGACGATCACTGTCTAGTCGCTTAGACTAACTTATTTCACTAACTAAATTTTAGAATTTAGTGTGAAATTCACACTAAATTTTAGAAGTTATAATTCTATTTTCTAAGTTATAATACTTAATTTAAAAGTTAAGTTATTATAATTAACCTCTATTTTTTAAGTTATAATACTTATTCTAAAATTTAGTGTGAAATTCAAACTAAATTTTAGAATATGTATTATAACTTAAATTTTGATAATTAAAATGGCAACCAATTTTTAATCTAATATTTTTTTATGTGTGCGAATTTAACACAAATAGCCCAAAGCTTCTTCAAATGGCAAAATACATTTTTTTTTTAATATTTCTATTGAAAAATAATCATTGACAAATCTAGTAGTGGTACTAAAGTTTTCAATTTTTGTTTACATGGGTATACGCGTTAGTTAAAAGGTTGAGAATCGCTGAAGTAGAACATTTAAAACAGAAAAATTTTAGGAAAAGTATTTGTGTAAATACACAGAAAATCGTCTGCAAATGTGCGAACAGCTATTTACCACCCAAAGCTTAAAATGATTTCAACTCAGCTCTCAACAAAGGCATTTTGGACAACTCAGAACAATTTCGAAGCCGTGTCTTTATCCGGCCAATCACGAATAGAAAGGCTGTGATTGATGGCTTTGACTTCTGTCTGACAGCGCCACCTCTCGATTGTTGGGCACAGTATGCCCGCGAAATTTCCCGCTTTCCAACTTAGCTCTGCACGTGGATTAGTTAGAAGGCATGCAGTACTCCGAAGACGGGTTGCCGCCGCACTACGGGCCGGGAGATGGACCCGGCGGTGGAATGTACGATCCACACCGGCAAAGCCTCATGAATCACCATGGAGTATATCACTCCAATCATGTCTCTCTCGCCAACCATGTTATGGGGTCGGTACCCGATGTTGTGAAGCGAGATAAAGACGCTATTTTTAGGTGAGTGTTTATTTATTTTTTCTTTCTTGTCCGTTTTGCAAAGTGAGCTTGAGTTTACTTGAAGTTATACTTATTTAAAAGTTGAAGTTAGTCTTTCAATCAACTTTTAATTAAGTAATCTTTCCGTGAACAAGAAAACTGATATTTGAACTATAATTAGCGCCAGCTTTGTCCCTGAGGGACTATTGTTTTCGTTTTGCAATTTGGCGTCGAATCGCTCTGAATGTCCGTTTCGCTTTTCAAACTGTTGCCACCGAATATTATCGACCTGTATTGTATTTGAAGAAATTAAATAATGAAGAAACTGCATCAATGTATATATGTTTCCTCGCATTGTGATAAAAGAACGGTACATACCAAGAACGGTACCTAGACCATCCAATTTTGAATGACGTAATCCTACTGCTAATAGGGACGGACATCTGGAAGCCGAAATTTGTTTTATGATCGATTTCATATTTTGTAACACTAACGAATTTTATTTTCAAAATTTTTTATGCGTTCACGTCATGTTTTCACCTTGCGCTCAGTTTAAAACATTCTGTTGCATAATTTAATACATAGTTTTTATAACATTTGTAAACTACTGTGAACCAAAAATCCTAAGAATTTCATGTTAAATTTTTATTTTATGCCGAGTTAAGTTTATAAAATACATTTTATAAAAAAAAATCTGTAATGTTTTCGTGCATAAAATTTTTTAATATTAAAATAATCATCGGATTTTTGATTCAGGTAGAAGATAGTGCCCATATAAAGAATTCCATCAAATTTCAAGTATCATTAGGCATTTTTTGCATTAAAAAGCCATATCTAGAACCGAAATATTGTGTATTGAAAGTTTTAGGTATAACGCGTATCACGAAACGAGAAAATTTTCCCGTTATAATTAAGGATAGTCGGTTAGTTTAGCGCTGCTTTAAATTTCAGAATTAGTTTTGAAAATTTTAGGAAACTTTGAGATTTTATGCGCATCAAAATTTTCCACCAAAGCGTAATAAACTCGGAAATTTCACAGTGGAAAAAAAAAAAAAAAAAATAAAAGTGGTGTTGCTTTTGTCAAATTATTTTTCACATTTAAATAATGTTAATACTATTTTCATTAACATTTATGCAAAAAATGTATTTCGAAATTAATTATCTTCCAAAATCTACAGCAGATCTTTTGCAATATCTTGAGGAATAATTCAAAATTTAATCTTTCAGTCTTTCAGAACATTGAGAAAAAGCTTTTTTCTAAACGTTAGAAATGTGTGAGGACCGAAATATAATTTCGATGCTGAATGTTCTTTTTAAGCCCAAGGGGGCAATCCCTGAAGGACTATTAATTTCATTTTAGCATCTTGCGTTGGTTCACTATAAATGTCTTACGCACTTTTCAAATTGTTGCAATTTTATTTCAAATTTGAAAGCTAGCCATATCAACTTTGTACAGAAAAAACATTTTTATCTCCAGCGCGCGAGACTCTGTATCGGAAATTCTAAAGATAGGCTCATTTTAAAATTATTTTGCAATATTGCCGTTGAACTGAATTTTATGATTTAAGCGCGAAGAACGTATAACATTTTGTGTGCTACCTTTATGTATTTAATAAATAAAGGTAGAACACAAAATGTTAAAAAACGCCCCTTCGGACGCAATTTAAAATCTCAAACCTTTCAGATTTTTTGTTTAAATTTTATACTTTTTTTATAAACCATAGAATTGTTTAAGTTGTTCTCTACGTAATAAATTGTTTTTTATGTTTATTAAACTTTCTTGTTTACCGTTTTGGAAACAGTTTTTTTTTTAACACCTCTTGGTGATGAACTGACTAATACGTATATTTCCAATAGGAATGTTTCGAAAGTTAATTTATTTATCAAATTTCGCTTTCGTTAGTTGATTTATTCAGCTAATTCTGGGTGTTCTTCTAGACGAATTTTTCTGTTATATGGGGATTTCCAAGAGACTGGTTCAGATATTGTTTTCAGTTGCGGCTATTCGTTTTGAGTCGACGATATGCTTACACCTTTCACTTACGTTTTACAAAAATGTGTTGTTCAATATCATATTGATGATCGGAGCCCACCAGCGGCCGAGCGGTAAAGACGCTGAACACTGGTAGCTCTGTCCGAAGTTCGAATCCCGCGAACGGGCTGGCTGCATGGGTTTCGTGGTTTTCCCCATGTGTAACGTGTATACGAGCCAGTTCCCTTAGAAAATCCTCCACGAAGGCATTCCTCCCTTTAGGCAGATAGCTCTCGTGTGCTTTGCCATAATTCAATAATCCAATCCAATCAATCTTGATGATCGCCAATAGCCGAGCGGTAAAGTCGCCGAGCACTCTTAGTTCGATCCGGAGTGAGCGGGTGAACTATATGAAAGTTTTTGTGGTTTTCTGTAGCGTGAAAAACTTTTCAGTTTCTTTTAGAAAAGCCTCCACGAAGGCATCGACACCTGAGGCAGATAATCGTTGCGTATTTCGCCGTAATTTTACTAATTCAATATCGCGGTTAGTTAAGCATTATATATAAGAAGTTGAAAAGTTGCTTTATCTGGATTTCATAGTAAGATTTTGCAGCAATTGCTGTTTTAGAATAGCAGTGTTGTGGATACATTTCTACACCATACAAAAGGGTCGTAAAAATTTTATTTTTTGTCTGTATCTGAGTTCAAAATCAATTGGAATGATTAAAATTGCTTACGGTAAAATTCCATAGTAATATATGCATTGGAAGCCTCCGTGTTTCTTAATTTTGTTCCAAAATGTTATTCTATTTTTGACATATTTATACATTTTGATGGCAAAAACAAGCCCATGAGTTTCAAAAAGCTGAATTCTTTTTTAGTTGATTTTATTTAGCTGCAAAAATTTAGTTTTATGAGTTGGCTACAGTAATTATTTAAGTAAAGGAATATATATATATATATATATATAATTCTAATATGTTACAGAGGAAGTATGAAACGTCGGCGACCTGTAGAATATATATGTAATGTTGTAGATCTTAAATCCATTTAGTGCGAATACAAGTTATTATTACTTGCGCAATTGCTGCAAAGTTAGTTAATAATAATAACAGTATTGATTAATTGATTATATTATCTCCTAAGTTTAATTAAAGTAGAATTATTTTAAAAGTGTGCATCCATACTGGTAAGTTATATTTTGAAAGATGTTTTGAAGTAATTTGAAAGCAAAATGTTAATAATGTTTTAACGGGGACTGGAGTTAAATCATCACGAAGAATAAAATTTCAATTGTAAAAGGAAAAATTAAAACATGTAATCATTGTCATTGATCGGAAATTAGTTGACTTTTCAAGGGGAACAAACCAACTCCCGTTCAATGAACAATAATTGATAAAAAATACGTAAATACGAAAGTGTTTCGTCTTTACTCGAGTTATAAGTTAAAGGCAAACCGGCAATTCTAGTCAGGCCAAATATTTCCGCGAATAGAAGGAATTATGAACCAATGCTGATATTCAAAGAACTTATTCTTATGAAGCATTTTAGTCAATTCAATTTGGAGTAAAAATCAATTACTGTAGAGAAATCCTATTAAAAACTCGAGTAATCGTCCCCGACACTTTCATGTTTATGCATTTGAGTACTATATTATTTGTAGAAATTAAACATTGGAAATTGTCATTATGAAATCGAATTCAAAGTAAAGTTGAAATAAACATAGAAGATTATAAAAAAAGATAAATAATGCAAACTTTGTAAAAACAAATCAAAGACAATATAAAAATAATATAGAAAATAATATATAAATAAGATCAGTGAATGTACATGAAGATATAAAGGCCAGAAAAGGTATTAAGTAACTTACATTCTTTCTAGTGGGGGAGTTGGCAAAGTGTTCTCTTCGTGTCTGACTCAGAAGTGTAGGGGGTGTCCGAAAATTCTTAACGGCAGTAGGGGCTTTGAATAATATCAGTCGGTAAGAACTTGGGTGAAGCAATTTATGGTAGTGGGTGGGACTTGGAATTCTTGAGGGATGTATTTTGTGGAGTTCTTATCTGAGAGAGACCGTCTGTTAAGATTTTTTTGAAAATACTAGTGAATGGAAATTAATTAATTTCTGGCTAATTGTCGTGTCGCAATGATTAAGAATTTAAGAAAGGAAAAAGGCATTTTCACTGTCCAAGAGCTAATAGACAGTCTAAAGGCATGAAATAGGCCCATTTTTTAGTAACAGTATAGTAACAGTATATGTCTGAAGACAATTAGCTTTTTACAATATATACAATTGAGTAATTACACTATATACAAATCTTCCAACTGACAGTCATCCAACTTATACCGCCTTCTCAGGTTTAGGAATAAATTATCATATCCCTATCAGTTAAATGATTTAGAGTGAGTATATATATAATATAATTGTAATACGATGCCGGACGATTTTGAGAACGAAATATGAGAATTATTACATACTCTCCCTAGGCATTGTATATAATGCCTAGATATTCTATAGAATGACAGATGCTCTTGAAACAAAGTATGAAAAAAAGGTTATGATAAGGCTATCATTTAAAGGACTTTTATTTCTCAAAAATACAAATGTTATCTTGAAAAATTAATGAAACAGTGCCATTAAAAAATTGTTATTCGAAATATGTGAAAAAAAATAGTGAGACGATCTTGATATAAGTTTGTATTTTCTATCTGGTTAAGACTGGGAATCAGTAAGATCTACCTGACAACGGAAATTAAATTCAGAAACAATCATAAGTTTCACAACAACGATCTTTTTAATACCTTTTTATTTTTTCTGGCGGGGCTTACAAAGGTATGTACAGTTCGATATCATTACGTGTATCGTTTTTGTACTTGGTTGAAAGTTCTTTGAACATTCTGTCACGTCGTCCGCGTCCAGTACTCAAATGAGTTTTCATGGAGTACGGGAAATAATTCAGCGTTCGAGACGTAATATAGTACGTACTGACTCTTTCTTGAACACGATAAATGAATGTAATTTTGTTTTCCACAAACATCACATCCTAGCGAT